ACCTTGGCCAAAAAATCTGAAAAGCGCCGATCTGCGGGGCATTGAAAAAGAAAACATTGTGTTATTACTTATCTGTGAGGTCAGCACTGATATAGTATAGTTTGTAGTACGTTTCTACCACCGGCTAAAAACTATCCTGATCAAAGCTTCTTTGTTTGGCAGCATTTTATGCCTACACTTGCTCATACAGCGAAACGTCATCGTTTCGACATGCACCCACGCTGCAGGCGTTAGCAAGTACAGACCAATAGTAAACTTTTCGTTTTGTCGAGCTGGGGTGATGTGTTGTAGTATGATTTTATCTGTTGCAATTCGTTTTCATTTCGCAATTTTGTCATCAACTGGTTTGCAAAGGTGTCAGTTTTTGTCACCGATCATATCTAGCAAATTAGAAGTTTTTCCACCCTATCTACCAACACTCGCAATGTCTGGGGTATAACAGGGTGGCAGGCTTTGTAATCCCCAGTTGACTGGTATTCGGTGGTCAGCATGGTTCTGAGGGTCGATGTCGGCGCCCCCATGTCAACGCGTGTCGGCGCTAACCGCAAGTCTTCCGACGCGACCACCTAAAGGCGCGATGAGACAGATGACGCTGCCCGACTTCAGAGCCGACGGGGGGCGTCAAGCCGCCGTTAACCATCGATGATGATAACGGTGATGATGAATGACTGCCTCGCAACCCGTCTGGGTATCTAATATATTGCGAACTCATTTAACTGTCGTTAAGTTCAGTCCGGAAAGCAAAGTAACGCATTTTTTGAGCTAACATCTAGAAAGGAAAGAACAATGTATCTGAAGCGCTGAGGTACCGTGCTAACGTTCCTCCGGTTACCAGGAGGCCCGACGCCGGTGCTCGATGATTCGCCCTCCGGATCGGCCCGGCGCCGCCTCCGTCCGAGGTGCCTGACGTGGTTCGCACCTACTTCCCCGAGACGTGGCTGTTCGATCTCCATACGGTCGGGTCAGTGGACGAACATGGACGCACCGACTGTGACGAGGCTGCGTTGGATGTGGACTTGAGCCGTTGATCCTCGTACTATGAAGCTTTCATGGGTTTGCTGTCTTGGCTACCTATCGTTTCATGTCGTTTGAGTATGTTCACATGTACATGTAACCAGCCAGTAGTATGTTGGATGCACATTAACCTATTAGTTGAAACCGTCAACAGCTTACACGATCATGTAAACAAAACAAAATCATAATTTTGTTTTTAAGAAAGGGGCATGATGCGTTTTTGTCCTCAAAATGTATCCAGAAATATGCACTAACTAGTATAGATCATGAGCGTGGGCAGATCACACATGATAGATAATAAGTCGTAATTTTAAGCACTATCATCATAAAGAGCACCAAGTTCTTGATAGTCCCCTTCACCCAACACATTCTTATACCTCAAGCGTTGGTCGTTTTCGACATTATAACTCACCATGTCGCATCCAGGAACTAGGACAGAATTGCACCATCACGTCACGATTCCGTGCCTATACAGATTAGAACTCGCCATGCCACATGCAGGAACTAGAACAGCCACACCATCAAGTCACGATTCCGTGCCGCTCCTCACATGCAGGAACTGGACAGCTACACCACCAAGTCATGATTCCGTGCCGTTAGTCATGTTCACATTTAAACCCACCATGCCACATACAGGAACTAGGATAGTTACACCATCAAGCCACAATTCGGTGCCGTTCCTCGGCCGCCTGGGCAGTGTCACAGCCAGTCACCTCCGCACCGGGCAGGGACGACGGCTCGGTGACGTTGACACAGAAGGTGCCGGACACCATCACCGAGTGGGTAGGCGGAGCCGTGTGCAGCTCGGAGACGGCCGGCCTTGGCGTGGCGCCGTCAGCCTCCCTCACCAGCTTCCAGCCGTTCTTCGTCAGCTACACGCCGCCCTACTCGGTGAAACGCGGCGAGACGTTAGTGCTCAAGGTCTCGGTGCTCAACTACAACGAAGAGGCGCTGCCGGTGGGTCCTCGCTGCTCTCCTGAGCGCTCTGTTCCGCCCGTGTTATCTTGCTCGCTCGTGTTATCTCTGTCGGTGCTCGGCGTCACCATACGCCACATGCTGGAGAAGACTGAATCCAACGCTAGCTTAACCAGCTGTCCGCTCGGACACTACTGGCTCCACGCGATATCCCACCGGCCCTGTGGACGCTAAACATGCACCGGCGCCTGTGGCCGCAGGTCAAGCTGACACTGGTGGCGTCGGACGAGTTCGAGACGCTCTCGGCGCCGGTGGTGACCTCGTGCGTGTCGACCGGCGTGGCCGAGGTCGTGCCGTACCGGCTGCGGCCCGGCCAGCTCGGCGACGTTAACATCACCGTGGTGGCTGAAGTGTACTCCGACTTCCCCGCCGAGTGTGGGTCAGAGGTGGTGCCCTACTTCAGGTGCGTGGCGCTCCACGTTGCTGGAGTACGGAGCGTGGCGCACGCCGTGTGAGTCAGCTTTAAACACGGCAGATGTGCGTAACCGAGACACGAGCCCAGACGCCCTGGTTTGCATAGGATGTTAAGAGTTGCAAATGAACCGGTAGTGTTTCCTATCGCATGCACGTTTCTGTCCTGTAATGACATACATATATTTGCTGAAAAAATAAAAATGCCTTCATTATTTGATTCAATGAAATATGAAGGCGTGACTACTCTCAACCGATATCCCATTTTGCCGTGGATGCATGCAGCCAACGCGATTACCATTTGGACAGGGACGCCGTGACCAGGCCGATTCTGGTGGAGCCGGAGGGCTTCGAGCGTGAAGTCATCCACTCCTTCTTCATGTGCAGCAGCCGTGAGTGCGCTGCCAAAGCGGATGTTAACGGGACGACTAAGGCCGGTGCCGGTGTAGCTGCAGGCTAGTGACGGTTTGGAGGGCGCGGCGTTGCTGGCAGTGTTGGGACGCACGTATGCTCAGCCGTGTGTTGGCGTAGTTTCCTTGATCGCGACGCGGCTTTCTTCGTCCCGCCGCATGGCTACGGACGTGTCCTGTGCCGCAGTAGGGCTCGCCCTGTTTGGGTACCGCTTCCCTGACCCGACCCGTACGCCGGCAGCGGAGGGTGCCGACCTGTCGAGCGGACCGAACAGACGGGAGGTTGACTGGCCGCTGCTTCTGCCGGCCGACCTGGTGCCCGGCTCCGAGCGGGCTCAGATCGCCGTCGTCAGAGACCTGCTGGGTCCGCAGGACGAACATAAAAGCAGCCGAGAACGACTGTTACATGAAGTTTATCAGGAAATTTTGTTGTGGCCGAAGTAATAATCGCTTTTGCCTTCTGTAACAATATCACTCGCTCCCTTTTACCTCACCATACAACAGAATACCAGACAAAAATGTGTCAGAAGCGGACCTTATGTGCAGAAAGCGATAAAATGATCCATAGATGAAACAAACGTGCACCGTTGCAGTCAGGGGCACAGCCAGAAATTCTGCAATACGGAGGGGTGTGTGGGTAGGGTCGGAGCTCGCTGAGTGCTTGCCATAATATAAATAAAGGAGTCCTCTATGGTGCTTAGTAAAACATGCGTTGCTTACAGTGGGGAAGAAGGGCAGCCTGCCTCCGCCCCCCCCCCCCCCCCCCCGTTCTCTGGCGGTGTCTGGTTGTGGTTGTGTTCCCGATGTACGCTCGCACTATACCATACCGCAGTGTGTAGCGAGACGGTCCGATTAAACAGCACAAAATTGGGTTAAACAGCTCACCAAAAGGCTGATCTTTCATGTCTACCGCCGTGTGCAGGAACACATTCCAGTAGCTCTTATTACACTGTTGCCTTTGTATGCACAATAGACTGAGCGACTTAGCGCTGTAGGATAGCTACCCCTGAGGCCGTGTTGGACACCGCTCACCGTCCGTGGGTTAGCTACCGCCGGGGGTCGTGCTGGCCGTCGCTCACCGTCCGTGGTTAGCTACCTCTGGGACTGTATTCACCGCCGCTCACCGTCCGTGGAATGCCATGTCAGCCACCGCTCACCGTCCGTGGAATGCATGTCAGCAACGGCTCACCGTCCGAGGAATGTCATGTCAGCCAACGCTCACCGTCCGAGGAATGCCATGTCAGCCACCGCTCACCGTCCGTGGAAAGCCACGTCAGCTAACGCTCACCGTCCGAGGAATGCCATGTCAGCCACCGCTCACCGTCCGAGGAATGTCATGTACAGCCACCGCTCACCGTCCGAGGAATACCATGTCAGCAACGGCTCATCGTCCGTGGAAAGCCAAGTCAGCCACCGCTCACCGTCCGAGGAATGCCATGTCAGCCACCGCTCACCGTCCGTGGAATACCATGTCAGCAAACGGCTCACCGTCCGTGGAAAGCCAAGTCAGCCAACGCTCACCGTCCGAGGAATGCCATGTCAGCCATCGCTCACCGTTCGAGGAATGTCATGTTGGCCGCCGCTCATCAGCCGCCATGTGCCTTCACCAGGACATCAGCTCCTGTACTGCAGGACCTGTACACGCTGACGCTGCTTACGCACGCGCGCGCCGTGGCCGGCCGCCTGGACGAGGCGCGGTTTGGTCTGACAGAGCTCAAGAGCCGCGCCACCAGGGAGGAGGGCCTGGTGTACTGGCGCAACGAAGGTGAGAGTCATCCCGCCGCACCAGCACAACAGTAACACTCGCTGGAGGGAGTGGTGCTGTGAACGTCCGAACGCTAGTTGATCAGCTTGTGATAGCTGTGGTGCTTTGACAACTGCCATAGTATGCTTGCAGAATGCGTTGGTGAAGGCTGAGTGTGCACAGTTGTGTGTGTTCTGTACTCTTTCGTGTGTTTTGATGGAACTCTACAGTGAGCACATATGAAATGTGACACCATTTTCTGCATTTCACTGAATCTAATGTACTGAACACACCTTCCTCAATTGCTGGCCTATCCTGAACAGCGGTTGACCAGCGTACTTTCAAAACCTTATCGTGGCGTATGTCACCAGGGTCTGGCGAGAATCGGGCGCTCAGCGTAGAGATGGGTGCCTATAACATCCTGACGATGAAGCTGGTGTGAGAAAGCCGGTGACGACAGCAGCGAACACTTCAGCGACGCGCTGGGTGCCGTGCGCTGGATCACCCAGCAGTGCAACAGTCGCGGCGGCTTCGTGTCCACGCAGGTCATAGAAATCACTGGGGTGGACGTCACGTGTCTGCCGGACTAGCTGGTCACGACACTGCCACACATTGCCTGCTGTCTGTCGTACATGTGTGGCTTGCTAGTCCCCCCTCAGAAGGGCCTGTTGTACCTGTTTGTCCTGTTCACTCCCGACGGAGGGGCCTGCCGTACATGTGTATCATGCATACCCCTCCCCGTGTACTCCTACCTCAATACCCCTGTGTATCCTGCTCACCCCCCACGGAGGGGCCTGTCGTAGCTGTGTGGTTTGTTCACTCCCCACGGAGGAGTCCATTGTATGTGTATGGCTTGTTCACCCCTCGGAGTGTTCTGCCGTACCTGTGTGTCTTGCTCACTCCCAGGGAGGGGACTGTCATATCCATGTGTTCTGCTCATTACCCTCTGAGGGGTCTGTTGTACCCCTGAGTCCGACCCACTCTCATCGAATGGGTTCTACAATGTCCTGTGCGCTGCTCACTTGGCGGACGGCCGTGACAGGATACGGTGCTGGCGCTGGAGGCACTGGCCGTCTTCTCGGCCGACCTGCCTCGCTCCAGCAGCGCCGACCTGCGAGTACACGTCTCTGATGACAGCTCGCTGAACGACATCATCAGCGTGACGGCGGACAATCAGCTACTGATGCAAACTCGTGACATCACGCTGCTGCCAGGTCACGTCCACGTCAGAGCACAGGGCACCGGCTGCGCCCTGGTGCAGGTCAGTGGTGGAGCAACCGTGTTAAACCACGGTAAGGTCGGGGTGGTGCCGGCTGCACCCTGGTGCGGGTCAGAAGTAAAGCCCTGCTTGGTAAACTATGGTAAGGTCGCGATGGCGCCGGCTGCGCCCTGGTGCAGGTCAGTGATGGAGCAACCGTGTTAACCGTGTTGAGAGAGAGAGAGAGAGAGAGAGAGAGAGAGAGAGAGAGAGAGAGAGAGAGAGAGAGAGAGAGAGAGAGAGAGAGAGAGAGAGAGAGAGAGAGAGAGAGAGGAGAGAGAGAGCGAGAGAGAGAGAGAGAGAGAGAGAGAGAGAGAGAGAGAGAGAGAGAAAGAGAGAAAGAGAATAAGAAGGGGAGAGGAAGGAAGAGGATCTTTACTGCCGGATTGTGCTGGCATGCTTGCAGCTGCTGGCATACCCGCAGTAGGACCTTTATGATAAACGTTGTGTACTAAAGCAGGTCACACGCACGGGAAGCCCAGATGGTGCCAGATGTACCCTAGTTCATATCAGAGTCGGCATCGAATGCACCGCCGGCCGTGCGGTCTAAATGCCAGACGTGTCTTCATTCTGGTCGGTTCGTGCCGATAATAGGCTGTAAGGTGTCCATGCAGGGGCGTAGTTTGCTTTTCCGTTGAGAAGGGGCTGTGCTTCCCACTCAACTCATGTTGCGAAACTATGCCGCTTCTTCCGGATCACAAGTTGTCCATTTTCGGTGAGGACGTACAGCATGAGCCAGCCTCGAATGCATCTGCTGAGAATGTATGTCACTTAACTGTGTGAGAGCTGAACACCGTGTTCTTAGTATAGAGCGTTTTCGCTTCAGCTGTTCGACGGCTGATGTGGTTCACTGAGAGCCTGAGTAAAGGACATTCAGTTCAATGATAACATGCACGGAATGCGAACCACGAGACATGCCCTCTTCTGCTGCACCATACAAATTAGCTCCAGCAATGTATGACGACGTACGTGCACCACGCGCATGACAAGTAACATCGTTGTTTCGCCAGGCCTCGTTGAAATACAACGTGTATACAGCCGGTCCAAACGACGCACTGACGATCAACGTGGCCGCCAAGCCCAAAATGAACCAGCGGGAATGTCTGAAGCATACCATAGGTGAGACGAGTGATGAGCCTAGTGACTCCTCTAGCTGTCTCTTGTCTCACCTGGTCTTCAGACCACTCGTTTACCTCTGCTCGGTTTGGTCTCAAATCTGTCGTGCGATGCGAGGGAATGTCATGGGAGGGGGCTCTTGACCAGCTTGCATTGTCCCTGGCATGTTTCACCAACATGTGAAAGCATCAGAAGACACTGCAGTGCCTAGTGCAATTAAAAAAGTGCTCGAACGCATCTCTCGCTCAACAGGCTTTACACATGACAACATGCCTGTCTGGTTGTTATGATAACACAGCAATGTTGTGCATTTAAGACATCTGCGTCAGCTACCTGAAGGAGGATAGCGAAACCAATATGGCGGTGGTCGAGTTGGACATGGTCAGCGGGATCATTCCCAACAAGGGAAGTCTGAATGACCTCAAGCAGAACGTCGAGTTGGGTAAGTTGGATTGGGTGGCATATAGTAGACATATGCCCTCCCGTTGCCACAATTACCTGTTTTCACAGACGGGTCGTCAGATCTGGGCTTTCTGTTTTCACCAGCAGTTCGTCGAATAAGAGTGGTCTGTTTTAACTAGCAGATTGTCTGATCTGAGTTGTCTATTTCCACTAGCAGGTCGTCAGATCTGAGTAGTCGGTTTTTAACGAGCAGGTCGTCTAATTTGAATTAGTTCTGCCAACACTAGGAATAAATTCTTTATCTAGCAATTAGACATGGCATGAAGTTTAAACCTGAGTTGCCACGCTCTTAAGATAAGCTGTAGGAGTTACCTACCGTTTGGGAGGCTTATCTTGTTTTCTGACGACCGGAAACATACTCCATTCAGGTCTGAAGCGCTGGGAGGTCAACAACAGCAACAAGGTGGTCTTCTACTTCGACTCGCTGGGAGGAAAGGAGCGCTGTTTCGGCATCATCGTACGGCGGGGGCAGGAGGTGGAAGATGCCAAACGGGCGGTGGCCAGCGTATCTGATTATTACCAGACAGAGTTCGCCCGGAGCACGGTGAGAAACAAATCCTTACGCAAACGGCATCAATCTGCATCAGGCCGCTACCTATGCAAAACACGATATAACTAAGCGGTTTGTTATCAGGCCGGTAAATTAAACCTTTCATGCAGCCAAATGTCACCTGATTATATTTTCTCTTGCCGCGTATGGTCCGATCTATTACACAGCGAGACGTATTTACGAGCATAGTAGCATGGCTCTTCTTTTTCCGTGGTCGGCTGTTGAAGTTGGCTGATCGGAAGTGTGCTTGGTCGTCCGATACTGTATGACGCAGCTGAATTGCTTTTGGGCCCTTTCAGTCGTACGCCCTGGACGTCAAATGCGACACAGTGCTGCTGAAGCGAATAGCCGATTCCATTGTCTGTGTCCGAGAACGACCAGCAAGGAGGTAACGCCGGCTGGGCCGCATTGCCCTGCCATGCTCAGTAGGACGCGCGGTCTGCCAACGACACGGGCTGAGGACGCTTGTGATTATTGAAAGAACAGACAACAGTCTTCCGGAATTTTTCAGATGGGTTAATTCACTGATATAACATTAATGGCATCCAAGGTTTGTAGTGATACGTAGCTGCGTCTCGCACGTCCTTGTCAGCGTGATCACGGTTTGGTGCTAAGAACGGTTGTGGACGCTGTTGGTTACCGCCCGAGCACCACGCGTCTTTTAATTGACACGAGCCTTGGCTTATTACAACGCCGGCCAGTCGCCACGATGTTTTGTTTGTAAATGTATTGTCTGGTTTGTTCTTTGATAATCATATTGTAAAGAATAGAGATGAGGACGAGCCGAGTAAAGTTACTGCAGTCACGCTGCTGGATATAGCATTATCAGCTGTTGAGCCGCTACGCTTTGCTTGCGCTTTAAGCTGTCACTTCACTCGGCATCTCTGCTGTGTGCGGAACCACGCTTTTCAGTGAACTTTGTGCACAACCCGGTCGATCGATATATAGCCGGAGACGTTTACACACTGTAAAATCGACAATAAATGCAACATTGTCCGTCAACAGCATTTTATTGCCGACCATGCTGTGGCAGAATGCAGTGCCGCTGCCCGCCTGGAGACTTTTACACGTAGAATACGACGATGTTTCCTGCGAGACTGAGCAAATGGTAGGTCCGCGCCAGGCCGGCCCCCCTGCCAATGCCCTCACTGGGTTATCTTGAAACAGGCACGCGCCTGGCGTTGATCTGTGTGCGTGACAAGCTACATTGCTCAGCCCGTCGTCTTCGGTGAATGGGGTCTACTTCAGCAGGGTGGCTGTTAATACGGCCATGTCCTATCAGCCTGCGCCGATGGTCCCGCATGTTTCTCTGCCGGGTTATGTGGACTCGCGTGCTAGAAAATGAGGACCACTGTAATACCGGGCAAGCTGGCTGTTCTGTTTTCGCGAATCTTGTGGACGAGTGTCGTCCACGTAGACCGGGGATGGCCAAACGGTAAAGATGAACATCGCACGCCGCTTGCGTGCACATTGGGATCTGGAACGCGGCTGGAGGCGTGTTCACCGAACAGGCAGTTATTACCGGAGCTGATCATGCCCTAGCAGTCCGGGTTGCCGGCGTGCAGCCATCATCTGAGCGGTGAGTTGGTCGGCACCCTTCCCGCTGCCGCCCGCCGCACGCTCTTGCTCGCCTGAAAGCTCTCACTGTCTGTGGCACGAGCTGTCTGCTTCGCAGCGTAACGGTCATGAGTGCGGACTGCATCCTGCATGAAAACGCTTCCCCTAAGGCTACAGAATGTGCATTCCAACTTATCATTGCGCGTCCCAGGGTGCCACGAGTCCGTCTGGCCTGCCGTGTCTCATTCCCATCCTATGTTGTTGTATGCTATACTCCTTTATACAGCCTGTTCGTAAGCACCTTCGGCTAGACCTCCCTGGGATAAACCGCTGGTGAATGAGTTACCCATATCTCTGTCGGGGTAAGCTAGAAACGCATTTAAGCAATAATTCTGTAGCTCTGGTGCAAACCCACACCACTTCCCAGCTGAGAAAATTTCCTTGCATGTGCAAGGTCAAAAAAGTCGACCCATGAAAATATTTGTGTTTAAACCAGCTCGCAAAGAACAGCGTTTTCACGCCGCCATAGCGTTGGTGCCATATGACTTAGTCCCATGGTGACGTCACGGCATCATTACCCAGTATGCAGCAGTCCGGGGTTTTGGGTTCAGCAAGGAGCGTTAAGAAACGGGGCACATAGTGTTGCCTGCGACGGTAACCGTCATCGTTAGTTCAGACCATTTGACGCTGAATCTGATAAATAATGCGATGGCATGCCCATGAAGTCACAGGGCCACCCAGGAAAGGATCTTCTGTGCGATCGCGAAAGGTGGCAGTTTTTGCCCTGTTGTTTTTCTCAATCGATGATCTGACCCCCGTGCAGTGCAACACAAGCGTGATTACCTGCACCTCAGGGCCCGTGCTCAACCGGCTGGTTCTTGCTGAGTGGCCGGGACTAGCACTGCTGCAGTGGTTGTGCTGGTTGGGTGTGTACCATCGGTACCGGCAACAAGGTGGTGCCGATCCGGACTGACAGAAAGGGAAACGGGTCCAGAGTGGACCGGATTACGGAGAGTGAGAAACACCCCGTTGTCAGGTCGCACGGTATGTTGTTTTCGCGACGCTTGATTTTGAATGTTATTTGTGTGAGGCGCTTCGGCCCGTTTGGGCCATTGCACGTCGGGCAGATATCATTTTAAATCGGTGTAGTTATAGTTGTAGTCGAAGAGAAAAAACACGCACGTTTTCTGACTTTTACACTGCTTGAAGTAAACCAGTAAGTTGCCTTATGGTAATATCGGTCCACCGTCGTTGCCAAAATGTTTTTTTAGAGTGCAAATAAAAGTTTCGCAGATGCATGATCAACCGGGCTGTCAAAGCTTTCCTTGGCTGGTCGATCAGCCGGCTCTTTACCCGTAATGCCCCTATGTCCCGGTCCCACAGAAATTTAATGTTCATGCCCTGTGTGTTTACCATATGATAGAGATCGAAGATGCTAACGAAGAGGTGGTGAATGAAGTCTGAATCGATAAGAGGTTGCATAGCTTTCTTCGAATCCGAACAAACGCTATCGCCCTCGTTTTATAGGTGTGTTTTTGAGTGTGCTGTAATGCAAGAGAAAGAGCAAATAGTTCAGCCAAATATACTGAGGTGCCATGCGGGAACCAACAATTTTTATGGCAATGTTCAGTGCAAATTACTGCACATTCGGTGTGGTAATTGGCCTTAGAGCCATCGGTGTAAACAAAACTGCCATTTCGATTATTGGCAACAGGAAATTGTAAAAAAAAAATGTTTGGGATCGTCAAAAAGAAACAAAACTTTTCATGGGATGAACTGTCACGGTGGTGCTATTACAACAGGTGGCACAGAAGAGTGGGGTAATACAAAATAAGGAGTGGTGCGGTAGACATTGGTCCGAGACCTTACCGTCAGTTCTGACCGGCGTTCTGCAGAGCCCCTCCAGTCGTGGTCAATGCAAGCCAAGATATGCATAGATTTAAAGCTGGGTGATTGAAGTTTTGTTGCCATTTGTTACGTGTCGTGATGTGTGTCCCATTCGTCGAAGAGCAATAGGCATAGCGTACGCGCCCATTTCAAGCGCTGAAAATGGAGTAGTGCGCAGAACTCCTCGTGTCATTCGCAAGAACACACTTTGCATACTGTGTAGAGTTTGAAGAGTGTGCTGGCTTCCTCCTGCATATACCACCGAGCGATACAGTTATCGGAAAAACTAAGGATTTATATAGAAGTAATAACTTCTCGAGGTTGGCACCGTACCGTGCCCCGGGAATGCGTTAAAGAAATTTGGCATCTAAGGTAATTGGAGCGAACATATGTCACGTGCTGTCGCATTGATAATCTTGGGTCGAGTTAAACACCAAACAATTCAAAATACGAAGCGAAAGGAATGTTGTGTCTGTCTACTTGGAGCCGAAAATTAAGAGTACCACGCATATTTTTGCTCAAAGCCATAAGTGCAGATTTGGGAGTG